TTTCTTTTTGGGTTTTTTTTTGTTTTTGTTTTTGTTTTTTTGGAGATAGAGTCTCACTGTGTCCCCCAGCCTGGAGTGCAATGGCAGGATTTCGGCTCACTGCAACCTCTGCCTCCCTGGTTCAAGCAATTCTTCTGCCTCAGCTCCCGAGTAGCTAGGACTACTGGCGTGCGCCACCACGCCCAGCTAATTTTTGCATTTTTAGTAGAGACAGGTTTCACCATGTTGGCCAGAATGGTCTTGATCTCTTGACCTCATGATCTGCCCACCTCGGCCTCCCAAAGTGCTGGCTCTTTGGCATTTTAATAAGCCCTTTACTGGTACTCACTTTCCTACCCATCTTCTTGGAAACTTCACACTACCAACTAAACTCACAATCCCTCCACCCCATCCCCAAACGGTCCCTCAGCTTTTCTTTCCTCTTTTTACTCACAATGTTTCCATTTCACCAATTTTCCACTGACCTTAACATTTCTCCTGCAACAACAACGAAAAATCACTAGCATCACCAATGACCTCCATGATGTCAGTTAGTGCAATTGGTATTTTTTAGTTCTCAGGTCCTTTTTCAGGAGGTTTGATATGGCTAAGGACTCGTCTTCTAGAAACAGTCTTTTGAGGTGATACCACATTCTCCTCCTTTTCTTCCAACATCTCTAGTCAGTCCTGTTAGTCTCTTTTCCAAGTCAGTCCCTCGAGATCATCCTCTCCTCTTATCACTGAATGTTCTCTGCCTAGGCAATCTCATCCACTCCCACATTTTCAAATACCACCTAGGCAGACAACTCAAAAATTTGCTTCTCCAGCCCAAGCTACATGGGTGAGCTCTTCACTCATAACTAGTGGTCTACTTGGCATCTCATACAGGAAGTCTCAATAACACCTCAAAACCAAAATGTCAAAAATCAAAATCATAATCTGTCTTCTCTCTCACTGTTCTTCTCCGTATACACATATAAACACAAAATAAAACAAAATAAACCTGTTTCTCTTCCAATATTCTTTCAACCATCCATCCAGTTATATGGAAACCCAAAAGTCCTTCTTTTCACTTCCCTTTCCTTACCTTCCATATACAATTCATAAATAGCCTCATCCATTGTGTAATAAATAATTCTCACCTGTAGTTGTTTCCCCTAACCACCTAGGCCACCTCTATTCTGGCAACCATCACCCCTCACTTGGAAGGATTTCCATGCCCTCCTAACAGTCCTATAGAAACCCATCCTTGCTCCCTCTCATTCACTCTTCCCTGTTGAATCCAGAGGTATCTTTTCCAAAAATGAATCTGATTCTTCCATGTTCCTTTACCTAACTGAGGCTTACTCATCCTTCAGATTTCAGCTTACACATCACTTTCTCACAGAAGCTTTCCAGGCTCTTCTACATGCTCTTCTCCTACCATATCTTCTTTTTCCATTGTAGCCCATGTAATGACTGCAACTTTATGTTTGTGTGATTGATGCATTATTTTGCCTCTCCATCCAGATAGCAAGTTCCATGAGAACAGGGCCTGCCTCCACTTTTGCTTATGATTCTATCTTACAACTTAGCACAGTGCCTGACTCCTTCATTCATTTATTTAACAAATATTTGTTGAAAGCCTACTGTGTGCCTGTTACTGTGTTATCCTCTATACTGAGGATACACCAGGGCACCAAACATTGTGGGGGAGATCATAAATGAACATCAACAAAAAGTAAACAAATGTATGTTAAGCAGTGATGAGTATTAGAAAAAGAAGTAAAGGAAGTTAAAGAAAGTGTACTATTTCAGCTGATCAGGGAAGTCCTCTTGGTAGGGAGATATTTCAGCAGAAGTATGAAGGAAGAAAGGCGTGGGCCTCATCATTATTTAAGGGAGGAACAGTTAAGACAGGAACAGTAAGAAAAAAGACTCTGAGATGGAAACTCAAGAAATCATAAGGAGCAGAGCAAGTGAAATGAACAGTACTTGGAGATAAGGTCAGAGAAGTTTCAAGAGGCTAGGTCATAATCATATAGACCATAAGTGACAGACACAGAGATGCATCACTCAGACTCCAAGGAAGTTCATGTTGCCCACCTTTGAGAGTACTGTGAGCGGAAAGCTTTCAGCTGTTGGCTCCCTCAGGAGTGCTTCAGTTTCAGAGAATAGCCTTTCTGGAGCTCATGCACTTTCCAAGGCAGCCCACGTCTAGTGACTGATCAAGGCAGGAATATAAAAGCCTGTCTGTGTTGTCCAAAGCAGGATAACTCTTAAATGCACTATTTCAGCTTCCTGTGTGTTGTTTGTTTTTTAAGACAGCCTTACTCTGTCACGCAGGCTGGAGTGCAGTGGCACAATCATGGCTTACTGCAGCCTCGACTGCCCAGGTTCTAGCAATCCTCCCATCTCAGCCTCTTAAGTAACTGGGGCTAAAGGCACGTGCCACGATGCCCTGCTAATTTTTTAATTTTTTTGTAGAGAGGGGGGTCTCACTTTGTTTCCCAGGCTGGATGTGAACCCTTGGGCTCAAGCAATCCTCCTGCCTTGGCCTCCCAAAATGTTGGGATTACAGGTGGAGCCACAGTGCCCAGCCAACTCCTGAATTCTTGATGGCCTTGAAGGAGGAATCTGTTGTCAAGCCCAAATTGCAGGTCTTCCCCCTCTGCTCAATCCTGATTCCTTTCCCACCCTTCCACAGGTTTGGATACCAAGGCCATTTCCTAATCAGCACCCTGGACTCTAAACTCAGTCTCAGAATCTGCTTCCTCAACAAACAAACAAATGAACAAAAATCTCCAAAATACATACAGAAAGTGAAATGTCCTCTCTCATCCCTGCCCCCAGCCATCCAGTTCTTCTCTCCACTGGGGCAACCAACGTTGTATGTTTCTTGTGTATTATCCACAGATACGCCATATGTGAGCAAATACCTGCCTACCTACTTATATACATACATATACACATACATAGGTAATGAATAAAGATAGGTGACAGATATTCATTCATTTCATTTGCTACACATATGATAGTAAACTATTCACTTTGTTCTAAATTTTAGTTTTTTCACTTAACAACATATCATGGAGAATTTTATTTTCTTCTCTTTTTTTTTTTTTTTTTTTAATTTTTGAGGCAGAATCTCACTCTGTCCCCCAAGCTGGAATCCAGTGGCGTGATCTCAGCTCACTGCAACCTCAACCTCCAGGGCTCAAGCAATCCTCC